CGCTCCGTCGCCGCACATGTCGCCGCCGCCATTTTAGGAAAAATTTCGATTCGCGCATCATACCCTTTTTCAACAAACTTATCTTTGATGATTACTGCTTGCTTATAGTATGCGTCTACATTGGTACAGTTGCGTTTGATTCTGGAAAACTGCCCCTTTGGAATATTGCGTAACCAAACAGGGTGGTGGCAGCTGTCTGTTGAAATGTAACCATTTCTGTTTCTGTCTGTTGGTTTGAAGTAAGTTTCCGTCTCTATTTTACCATTGTGATTCATTAACACCAAATCTAGGAAATTGACACTAACCTGACTATATTCAAACGTGAGCGTAATATTTGAAGAGTTAAAATTCAAAGTGGTGAAAAAGTTTAAAACGCAACTGTACCAATGTAGACGCATACTATAAGCAAGCAGTAATCATCAAAGATAAGTTTGTTGAAAAAGGGTATGATGAATCCACCCTGAACCATACCATTGACATCATAGGAAAATCTGACAGAGAGTTGATGTTGAATAACATTTCTACACAAAAACAAAAGCGGATATGCCCTTTCATTACTAACTATTCCACACAATATAAAAAGATAGCCAGTATTATTAATAATAACTGGAAGATTTTGATGACTGATCCGATTCTGAGTACTATATTGCCAGAGAAACCGGAAATCATTTTCCGGAAAGCGACATCACTTAGGAATAAAATTGCCCCCAATATAGTAGATCCGCCTAAAAGCATAACTATGATAACTAACCTAAAAGGTTTTTTACCCATGCAAAAAATGTGTCATCTGCCGATGTAGTAAATATACGAATAAAAGTAATCATTTTTTATCTACAACAAGAGGCAAACATCATATTATTGAGGATTTTATTACTTGTACAAGCAGATTCGTAGTGTACTTGCTCCAATGTCCTTGCAACCTTCAATATGTTGGACGCACTACTAGGCGCCTTAGGGACAGATTAAAGGAGCATGTCAATAACATAAAAAAGGGGTATAGGGAACATTCTTTGTCGCATCATTACAAGGTCCATCATAACAAAGATCCATCGTCTCTCAGATTTATGGGCATAGGCATTATCAATGCCCACTGGCGAGGAACAAATAAAAAACGAGCAGTGTCACAGCTCGAATCGAGATGGATCTATGAACTAGGCTCCCTACACCCCAGAGGATTGAATATAGATTTTGATCTAAATTGCTTTCTGGATAATAGCTAGGATGAGTAGGACACATAGTAGTATTTATTCTTTTTCTATATACATATGTATTGAGATTCTTATATTTTAATCAGGATTAACGATTATCTAACCTATATGACACCACCGTATCCAATTAGTTATATTCGGTGTTAATATCGTGTACTCCTCGTCATCGCTTTTATTGTTTATAATTTGAATTTTGTATTTTAATCCGGATTGTGTATTTTTACCTGATGCATTTTAACCTGACGTAATTTTATGTTCGATGTTTTATTTTCTGACCTTGTATTTCAGTTTTATGTACATAATTTTTATCTGACCATGTATTTGTATTATATTTATATCTATATGTATTTTATTAATTGTGCTATTTATATTTCTATTTTTATTTATGCTTATCATTTTAATGGGAAGAAATAAGATGTGGACTTATTTATATATTTATCTAATTACACATAATATATAAATTGGTATTTATGTGTAAATAGGGTGGGCTCTGCACATTATTTGTGCACATAAGGGATTACTAACAAATACCTTATGATCAACACGGTCCTATAAAGGTTCCCATCTCTAGTAATATATATTTTTATATGGAGTCTCTCTTCCCACTATATGCACAGTTCATGATAATGAACTGTGCTTTGTCTCAGGTGTTTTTGATTACCGCCGGTAAAATGGCCGCACCGCATCAAGGGAGACTGTTTTCCAACTAATGGATCACATATAGGATCCACGACAAAATGGGGCCGACGATCCGCGCATGTGCTGTAGGTCGGCAAGATGGCGCCGATGATCTGCGCATGCGCCGATAGCCGGCAAGATGGCGGGCGCCTCAAAGCGATTTTTCCACTGCAGAATATAAATAGCACTAGCATAGGTGCCCAGGCTGCAAGCCCTTATCCCTATGACTATGTGCAACGCACGAAATGCGTCAGAGGGGCAGCAGTAACTGGACATCTAACCACAGCATACCCTGAATACATGGTCAGTAACTTTTGGAACTTTTTGAAAATCTGTTTTTACCATTGCACCCATTATCCTTGAATAAAAAGGTACCTTAAGCAATATCACGCTATGTGGTCTCTCATTGGGCACTCTGTGTGAGTGTCATCATTCACAGTGCCCATTTGGAGGAAAGATGACCCTGATGGTGATACCTGGTAGCGGTTTCTGGTGACCTTTTCTGTGGAGCTGGGATGGTGATTCGTATGGTAACCTGACCCGAGACCTGATGACCTTTCTATAACCTGATGACGCAGGATTTATTATTGTGCATTTTAAACGCACATCTGGTGAGTGCGTTTTTTATCCATTCGTTTGGCTTGCACCTGTTGTCACTCCCGGATCAGGACGTCCACACACTTGGAATTGTGATCTTTGTTTGATCCACACAACTATTTTGAACTAAATATATCACGATTAATCACCTTAAGGTGATACCACCTATCCACATTTATTTGAAATGGCATGGCATTATGTATACTAATATGTATTATCATTTAGCGCTGCACCAACTTATTTGAATACATATATACTATTGGAGGTTTTTTTTGGTTGCCTTTCGGTGTATCAACTGCTTATTTATTTAAATTTATATACATACATGTGTGTATGTATGTGTGTATATATATATTTACATATATATATATATACTTTTTGTTGTTTTTTTGGTAGCGCTCACTGAAATCTCCTTTATTGTATATGTCACATATTCCCAAGAAAGTGAATTAAATGTTTTATAAATGTCCAGGGATAAAAGGAACCCTGGTATCCTGTGGCGATGTAAAATATGAATAAGATGGATGACTTTACGGATGTTATCAGCGGCTTGTCACCCCGGAACGAAGCCAACCTGATCTCGATGAATAAGTGAGAGTAGATATTTATTAATTCGGGTGCTCTGAACATTTCCCAGAATCTTCAAGTCCACATTTAGCAGCGAGATTGGTCTGAAAGCTTGCGGAACAAAGGCATCTTCAGTTTTCTTAGGGATCATAGTAATATGCGCCTGAAGAGACTCCAAAGAAAGCCGGGAAGCCTGCTTCAAAGAATTGAAAAAGGCCGTCAAATGAGGAACCAGAACAGTGGCAAATTTTTTATAGTAGAGCCCAGAAAATCCATCTGGGCCTGGAGACTTGGAGGCCTTAAAAAATTTGATGGCTTGGTAGAGTTCAGATTCAGAGATATCCACATTCAGGGCATCGCGGGCTGCAACGGATAAAGAGGGTACATGTAGCTCAGCAAAAAAGCTGTCAGCATGTTCAGCGACAAAGGTGTTCGGTTTTTGGTAAAGAGGACAAAAAATCTGCAAATCTATGAGTAATCTTCACAGGGTCCGAGGTAAGGCCACCGCCCCTCATTCAGACTTGAACAGGTTTATGCGTGTGACCAAGCGAATTAAGTTTCTTAGCGAATATTGACCCCGGTTTATTGGCGCATGTATAAAACCTATGTCCGGCCCAACATAAGGGCTTCTTAGCTCGTGTAGTGAAGAGAAGATGAAGTTCAGCAGCCACCACATCTCAAGCTTTCTTATTGGCCGTAGTCGGGCAGGCTTTCCAAGTAGTGTCTACCACGGCCAATTTTGAGATCAATTCCAACATCCTCTTCTCTCTGGCCCGTTTCCTGGACGAGGTGATTTGAATCAAATGACCCCTAATGGTGGCTTTGTGAGCCTCCCACAGAGAGACGGCCGAAGATACAGAACCCACATTGTCCGTAAAATAGGATTGAATGTGCAAAAGAACCTGGGAGCAAGAAGCCTGAATGGTGAGCAGGGATTCATTGAGTCTCCACAGAAAAGAGAGCCGAGCCATACCAGAAAGACGCAGTGAAAAGACCAATGGGACATGATCAGACAGGGTGAGGTCGAGAGGACAATCTTTTGAATTAAAGATAAACGTTGGAAGGAAATGAAAACGTGATCTATTCTACAAAAGCTCAAATGTGGGGCCAAATAAAAAGTGTATTCCCGTGACGTAGGATGCATTTCCTGCCAGACATCAACAAAACCATAAGCTTGCAGCGTATCAAGCAATTTCTATTCCTGAGAAAGGTCGTGGCTAGGAGTCCCTCCCGTCGGGTAATGGCGATCAACAGAGGAATTAAGAGTAACATTCGAATCGCCCAGCAATAAGAGGATACCACGTTGGTGGTGCAAAATCCGTGCAGCGATTTTTCAATTGCAAATTTTAAAAAAAAACAAAACACTTTTTTTACTTTTAATGCACAAAAACACAATATATTGGCCAATTATTTGGTAAGATATAAAAGATGATGGTATGCTGAGTAAATAGATAACAAACATGACATGCTTTGCATGCCCCGTGCAATAGCAACAAACTGCATACATTTTTAATATCCATAGGCAACACTTTAAAAGCCTTTACAAGCTACCATTTTAGATTTGCAGAGGAGGTCTAGTACTAAAATTACTGCCCTTGATCTGATGATCATGGCGATACTTTACATGCATGGTGCAACCGCTGTTTACATACCGGCACAGGGTCAAACGCGCACACAGGTGCGCACGCGTGGGGAAGGGGAGCAATGGTGATTTTTTTTTTTTAAAGTTATTTAGATTTTTTACATTTTTACACTGTCCCTTTCATATATATTTTTTTTTTAGCACTTTGGGTATTGTCATGTATTCTTTTTTGAGAAATCTGGGGTCTATCAGACTCTAGATTTCTCCTCTGCCCTTACATTATCTAGTTAAACCAAGATCGGTGTGATCAGATGCTTTCGCAATTTACAAATGGTGCTGTTTATATCCTGTGAAACTGAAGTGATGAAATGCTTGTAGCTTCCGATTTCTTAGACTATAGAGATGATTGGCACCATTCCGGTCTCCAATCAGCTCTGTGGTCATCTGGCAGAAACACCGGCTGCATTCTCATGTTCCCCCCCCCCCGTTGGCACGGGACTGCCTGAGAAGGGCGTGGAAGGCAGCTGGGGGGGGGGGGGGGGGAGGCTATCTTGAGAATACATACGTTTTCTCTTTATTTTTCCTTTTACCTTTTATTCCTCCCCATCTAGATGTATATATAAATGGGGAAAGGAACAAAATAAAAAACAAGTCATCATGAGAAAAACAACTGGTTCACCCGAGACATCCCGACAGAGAAAATTGTGGATACACATGATTTCCCCTAAGGGGGGATAAGTGGAGCTACATGTCTGATATAAAATGTCACACCTGCAAGAGGCGGTCCGCTCTTAACTGAGGAGGGGCCTGCCCACCGGTACAATTGCACAGGGGTCCTATACGCCCGATGGAGAATAAACAATTGTGACAATTTATGAAAGGAAGAAAGAGGTATCACTGGAACAGATTCCAGGGCAGCGTCCCAGACATCTCCGGCAAGCTCTCCAACATTCCGGGACCACTGCGCACTACCCCGGAGACTAGCATGATTCTGTACCATGGACAACAACTAGGAGTAAACCTGAGAAATCATGCCCTTTTTATGGGTTGCCTGAATTACATCCTTGAGAAAAATCGAGTCTGTCAATGTGAGATTGGAGAGCAGAGACTGGGCCTGCACCGCATGGCGTAGCTGAAGATATTGGTAAAATTGCTTTGTGTAAATGTAAATTCCGTTTGCAATTGTGAAAAAGACTTCAGAGTTTCCCCTGAGTACAGCTGAGATATAAATTTCAAGCCTCGTTCCATCCATTCACGGAAACCCTCTAATTTATCCAGTTCTACATATTGCTGATTGTTCCACAAGGGGGTACTGTGATAGATATTTTGGGCCTACAATAATTTTTACCATTATTGTGAACTTCTGCTAGGGGTCTCAATTCTTGTAACTTATTTACCATCTGTTGCATCACCTCACACACCCCCCCTTAGAAGGTTTCCTGTAGAGGTTTATGACAGTAGGGCCATCCAGCTGAATAAGCCTTGGAGACATAATTTCTAACACCTCCTAGGAAGTTTCCTGTGGGAACTGGTTTCAAAGGAGGTATGCTTCGCTAGATATTGGCCTATCCTAAATTCCATCTGATGAACTACAGTTGGCCAATATCATTCACAAATCACAGAGCCCCCCTTTGAACAGAAATGGCAAAATACTGGAACCTATTGTAGGGTGTGACTACCTGGAATGGAGAGGGTATAAAGTATGCCATTGCTCACATTTCAGCCTCTTTGTCCCTTGCCTCTTTGGAAGACCAGAACATCAGGATGTCCGTGTAATGTATCACCATTGCTCTGTCTCCTTCCTGTAACTTTATTTCTTTCCTGTAGTCCGCATTGTAATATTACTACTTTTAAAGTTATACCGGCTACTATTTATTTTGTCATAATTGATTAGTAGTCAGCTTATTTGCTGTTTAAATAAATTAGATGTTTATTTTTTGCAAAGTTGTTATCCTTTGCTATTAACATTATTGGTATTAGACACATGAGGATTGGCTAAATTCATGTATAGACTAAAGGTTGTAATCAATTATTACATTTATAATCTTGGATAGAACCAAGTGAATAAGTGCGGTAGAAAAACCGCCAAAACAAATTATGCCCCTTGGTGAGGAAGTCTGAATGTTTAAGTTACTTCTTATGTGGAATACAGAGTAATATTTACAACTTTCTTTGTTTTCATGTCTATCTTCCATGTCTGTCTGAAATACCTAGACTAGTAAGCGTTGTCGAATGTCATTTTTACCTTTTGTCTTTACTAATATTTTGATGAGACTGAATATGAACAGTAGAATTGAAATAAAATTGTACTGAGAGTGTATGAGAAAACATCCTAACTGCTCAGTGCGCCTATTGCAGCAGGGTGTGAATGTGAATGAAAGGGCTCTGACTGAACTCTTTAGAGGCAGTGAAATAAAATGTAGGATCTGTGCCATTCTGCCTAAAAGTTTTCAGTTGGCTCTCAAATGAGATTTGGTCAAGATGCTTCCCAATCTTTGTGATTGAAATGCGCCTGTGGGCCTAAATCACACGGAATGATCTTGTTGTGTATGAATCTGTCCTCTCTGTAATTTACTAACTGTAAGCGTGTAGTTAGACCTGTGAACAACAGCTATATTGTAACTGCTACAAACCATACTGCAAATAGTTGTGCCTCAATTAATTGCCTGCTGTACTCCAAGCACTCAAATTTTGATTATTCAAGTTTTCTCTAATCCTTCTTGGATAATAGGAGCAATTTAGGAAAAAATCTGTCAGAATACTTCAGAAAGGTCCACGGGGGGGATTGAACTATTGGCAAGTTCAGGAGATCCCCAGGCTGTTTGAAGGGCTATAGTCAGAACAGGGAAACATTAAAAGTTTGTTCTGACAAGTATTGAAAAGCAGCAACGGTGACAGGGGTGGTACCTGTCAACCCAGTCACTGGCCAGAGATTAGCTATCTCTGGGGGCAACCGCTTAAGGTTGAGAAATTATTCCAGGGTTTGGTATCCGTAAGTATGGATAACAGTATCAACTCAAGGAAGGTGTCGAAGTATGGTAAACCTTACCAACTGACCCCAAGGGAAGAGATGATCGGTAAATATGGACCCTGGGTGGTAAAATATTTACATGATTTGGAGCGCTGGACTGGAATGAAGTTTTCTAAAAGAGGTACTTTTAAACCTAAGACTTCGGAAGACCTCTGGTATGATCATCGTAAAAAGATGACACGCCCAAATGAAAGAGATACTTGGAGTATATTGTTGTTAGAGTCAATGAGTAGGGAGGCAGGGAATGTTTTTAATATGGATTCTAAAGAGAAATCATTCCAAACAACACTTGAAAGTAGATATATGAAGGGACAGTCACAAAAGTCTAAACCCCAGAATTGTGGCAATGATGAACAGGGGGACAATGAGCAATCGTCAGGACTAGGGCCTTATGCAAGTTACCCAGTCCTTACCAGTGGAATTCTTGAGCACTGATATGGACTGTTATCAGCAGTTGATAAAAAGGGAGAGCCACAAGGTAAGGCCAAAAGACTGTGAGGAACAGGAAAAGAATGAGGAAGGCAGAGAAGTTAGGCAGGGAAAGGCCAGACTGGAGTTAGAAGATACGAAATCAAAGCCTAGTGGAAAAAGTTGTAGTAAGAGTGCGGGAAAGACTCCACTGATCTTTGCTGCCTGTTGGATGGCTAAACAATATGAACATTTGAAGTTGCAAAATGAATCCCTAAAGGAAGCTCTTGAAATATCCAAAAGTGACCTGAGCAGTTTAAAAATTTCTGTAACTAATTCTGATGCTAGCCACCAACAGCTAACAAGAGATAACAAAAGATTACAGGAGAAAATTGATCAGTTAATAGAAAGATTGAAGAATGCAGAAAAGTGAAGTGAATCAATTCTATGTTGACTGCCAGAAGCAGCTTGCTCATTTTCCTGTTAGAGTAGATGATAAAAAGACTGATTTAAGTATTGTGAATTGTGGGAAATCATCCAACCCTAGTGTATGTGACAATATCTGTAAATCTCTGGATGGTAAGAGTGCTTGTAAAGCTGCCCCTTCATCTTGTATGCAGCCAGAAAAAGTTGCTAATCAGGTGTCAGTCACTGAATATTCTCAATCTAAAACAAAGCCTTTAGTTAATTAGATGCCATACCACCTTAGAAAATATCAAATGTTATGCATGTGGATTATTTGGCCCGATTGCTCGATTTTGTCTATCCTTCTGCTGGAAAGGTAATGAAACAAAATCCATATAGGACAATGAGATGTGATGTTGAAATGTATTCAGCATGCTTTCGAACATGGCCGAAGTCTACAAAGTATGAGCAGCTGAGATCATGGGTCCCATTCCAGCATATTAAGGGAGAGAATGCATCTATGCAAGCTGATAATAAGCAACTGAAACGGGATGAATCATTAAAGGAGTCCCAAACTTTCAAAATGAATTTTATGGAAGTGAAAAGAGAAAGTCCAGGATATTGGAGAAGACATGCTGGTATCTGTGGTGTCTAAAGTTTGTCTTTAACCACAAGCCTACAGGGCACTTATACCCCCTTCCTGCCCAGGCCAATTTCCAGCTTTCAGTGCTGTTACACTTTGAATGACAATTGCTTAGTCACCCTCGACACAATCCGCAGAGACTTCGTTGCTGCTCAAACTCCCTCCAACCCCGTCCCCTCTCACACAGCTACCCCCTCATCACCCCTCTCCCACGGCCCCACCACTGCTCTGACCTCCACCCCACCCAACATTCCTCACACTGAAGCCCCCTCAACACTCCACACCTTTGACCTTACTACCATCGAGGAGGTCTCCAAGGTCTTCTCTGATGCCAGCCTCACCATCTGCCCCCTCGACCCTATCCCCTCACAACTCCTATGACCTCCCCCCCCCCCATCCTACGCTCCCTCACCCACATCTTTAATCTCTCCCTCTCTTCCAGCACATTCCCCTCCCCTCTGAAGCATGCACACATCACCCCCATACTTAAAAAGCCCTCCCTGGACCCCAATGACCCAAACAACCTCAGACCCATCTCCCTGCTCCCATTCACATCCAAACTCCTCGAGCGCTTAGTCTACACTCGCCTAAGCTCTCACCTCAACGACAACAACCTCCTCGATCCGCTACAGTCCAGCTTCCGTCCCCTACACTCCACCGAAACTGCCTTACTCAAACTCTCCAACGATCTTCTAACCGCCAAAGCGAATGGCCACTTTTCAGTGCTCCTACTCCTTGACCTCTCTGTGGCCTTCGACACAGTTGACCACCCCCTCCTCCTCAAAAAACTACACTCCCGTGGCTTCAGAGATTCCGCTCTCTTCTGGCTCTCATCCTACCTATCACAACGCTCTTTCAGTGTTACCTATAATGCTACCACCTCCCCCTCACTCCCCCTCTCTGTTGGGGTCCCTCAAGGCTCTGTCCTCGGGCCCCTTCTCTTCTCCATCTGCACCTCCTCCCTTGGCCAACTCATACACTCTCATGGCTTCAACTACCACCTCTATGCTGACGACACACAAATCTATCTCTCAATCCCTCGCCTCACCCCCTCAGTCTCCGC